AAAAAAAAAGAAGAAAATCCCAGTTAAGAGGAAAAGGTTTAACAATGTCTGTGTAATCTTTTACATAACTCAGCATTACAATTTCATTTGTGAAATCATTTGAACAATATCAAATGTTCCAGCTAAAGACACAAATCCCCTTTGGGGATGCGTCAGGATGCTAAGACTGACATGTGGAGCTACCCGCTGTGGCGACACCTTGTGGCATGAAAGTAGCTACATAATAAAGCAAGAAGAACACATAAATGCAGTTTCTCTAATGGCCACTGACGGCTGGCTCCAAAAGCAAGTCAGTCCCCACAGATTCCCAAGTAAACTTGCCTAAATATACAGCGTTAAAAGCGCCACCATTTTTATTTACAGTCTGTGGATATAGCGAGCGTAATCTCAGTTCCCTGTAGTCCTGCTAAATATAGGATGTTTTTTTTTTATCTCCTTTGTTTCACATCTGATTAAACAACATTTTAATTTCTTCCCCAGCTCTGCCTGGGAGTTGGCCACTCACGCTGATGTGACGCTGGAAATACCAAATCCAGCAAGTTACATCCACTGTTGCCTTGACAGCTCGCCAACGATAAAAATGGACTTCCACGTCTCTTCCCCTCCGTCGCTTTCTCTTTCCCTCACTGCCCTTCCTCCACCCTCCATATACGTCTCCCCATCCAATTCTCCCTCTCGCTTCCTCTTTCTGCTGAAGCAAAGCCTATTTCCTGCATTATAGTCAACATGGCTCACAGCGAAACGTGCGATTACACAACCAGGTGGAAGTGAACGCTCTTTCTTCGTCTCCGCTTGGTAGACGCAGATGGATCGTGGTGATGAAGATGAAACGGGCCAGAAAGATACCAAACCTGATGAAATTTCCTTAGAAGCATCAAAGCTGCTGCACGACACGCACAAATAACGATTAAACAGAGAAATACTTTATAAACTATAGAAGTAGTTCTCCTTTTAAAGTGAGGATAAACGCTGTACGTAATGACTTTAGTGAAACTCCATTTAATCTCTCCATTTAAAGTAATTGGAAGTCTAATTTGCTGAAGCTTTGTCCTCTCTGATAAAATCTCCCTTTCTTGGCTTTGTCATATTTAACCAGTTTTATATTTTATGGTCTTAAAATAATAATCAGCTGTGACTTACATCTCTATGTGCCATTCCTGTAGCTTTAACTGCTCTCCCTGGCTTATGCTTTCCACGTATGCGCTTGGAAGGGTGGCGACTTCCCAGAACTGAGCCACACCGCCAAATATAACGCACTGCAGATGGACCAAACAATCTCCTTTTAATTATCGTTGTCCTGAATGAACTAAGTTTGATTCAGCCAGACAGTTCTGTTTGAAATGTTTATTTACATCGAGCAGTTTAGTGTATAGGCTTTGACCTCATCTTCCACAGAATCTAAACACACAGATGTGTTTGGTAGTGATGAGTAAATATCATCCCACCATTCAGAATCAGCAGCAGTACCGTGGTGCAAAGCAAAGGCAGACATATTGTCTTTGTATGTAGGATTTGTATGTGGGATTGTTAGAATCTAGTTGAGGTTTGGACCTTGACTGGGCCATTGCAACACCTCAGTTGTTTTCTTTTTCAGGCCTTGTGTTGTAGATTTGCTGCTGTGCTTGGGATCACTGCTGCATGACCCTGTTTCAGACAAGCTTTAGCTGTCAGACAGATGGCCATACATTTGACTACTTTCATATGCATGTGTGTTCATGGTTGATTCAATAGCTGCAAGCTGCCCAGGCCCCGTGACTGCAAAATAACCCCAAATCATCACCCTCCACCCCCGTGGTTGGCAGTTGATATGTGGTGCTTTTGATGATATGCTGAG